CGATGCTCAAAAGAAAACAAAACTTTAACCCATTGCCTCAGACTTCATGCAACAATGCGTTTCTTTATTCCGTAAACACCGATTATCGCCTCAGACTTCACGTAGCGATGCTCCGAAATACAAGGATTAGCTTATCGCATCAAACGTCATGCATCGATTTGCGAACACAACCCATGGCCTCAGTCTTCAAGCAGCCATGCGTCATCAATCATTGATATACTCATCCTCCAAATGGGTGAGTGATCAAAAGTAAAACCAAGATATACAAAATTGCGCTCTTAAGTTCGAAACCATCTGCCTCATAATTAAACCCCGGTAAGCGATATGTCATCAACTTTGCCTACTTCCTTGAGACTTGTAAGGGTATGCTATATCAGTGTAACCTTATGTTTGTTGGACAAATTTCAGGATACTTCAAGTATTCAATAGACTTCCAATCAAAATGCGCAAGACTCGAGTTTTCTCATGCCATTCGACTGGAAGATAATTGCATAGGGGCAGCTGTCGTACCCCAAATTTGTCGTACCTCGATGATTTTATTTTTCGAGATTAAAATTGAAGAAATATTCAACTAAAGACGGTACCACAGTATCTGATGGTCCCTCTTTATCCAACTAGGGGGTGTACGTTAAATTCAGGAAGGCGGGGCTTTTTAAATCAGAAAGACTCGTGTAAACTTATGCGTACGACATGTTGGCCTATGGCCCATGCGACTCGAAAATGGAAAAAATTATTCAAATAACTTTTATGTCCTTAAGTCTTAAAACCAACGCAAGTTTAAGTTGTTAATTGGAATTAAAATCAGTACAATTCTGAGTTACAGACCCATTAAGGATTCTTCTTTAGCTGGCCCATTGGGATCTCTAAAATCAGTTCATCTGTCATTTTTGTTGCTGATTTATTTTAGAAAAAATTATTATAAAATGTTCGTTGTTATTTTTCTAAGAAAATTCTTATTCACAACTGGTTAAAAGAGATCTTTTTCATTTGTTACTACAAGGGGGTAAACTAAATTTAAAGCTTTGAATTTAGTACAAACTACAGGCCCGTTAAAATAGTCTCTAATTGAGCCCATTTGGCATTTTTATTTCTTTTTTTTTACTGTTATTTTTTAATATTATTTATTATAATCATTTTATATTTTCTGTAAAGTATTTATTAAAAGATTTGTTAAGTATTATTATCAAACAAAAAAATTTTGTTGTTTGTTTTCGGAAAAGCACAACTTGTTAGTAATAGCGTTGCCTGGATTTGTTGAGAAATTGTTGTGGTTATTTGTATATCATGTTTTATCAGTAAAAATGTGTTACTAATTGCAAATTATCAAAGCTGGGCTTGGTAAGGAATAGTTACTGTAAGAGGTGATTGGGCTAAGTAAATAAAGGAAGCGCAGGCCCAATTAAGCAAAAAAAAGAATAGTCACTGTATCCATTCACCAAAATTAATGCGTGTTTTTCTTAATGAACATATACTGTTCAGATTAAATTAAAGCACAATATCTGCAAATCAGATTAAATCAAATCTTTAACATTCAAGCAATATCAGAATCAAATCTAATATAATAGCAAAATCTGGAGAGAGAAAATTTTAACATTACAAATCCAATCTTTATTACATAACACAGATCCAAAATATTACAGAACCAATCTAAAGGATCTAAAACAAAAATACAAATCCATAAAACTGAATTAAAACTCTATTACATCTCAATCAATTACAGAATCCCTAAACCTATTCTAATCTCCCTAATTTGTGCAAACTTAATTCTACCAATTCTAAAACCCTAAAAAAACTAACTATTATAAATACTGAAAAAGAAAATACAGAAGGGGGGCAGATTTTGGACAGAAAAGAGGGAAGGAAGATTTTACAGAAACAGGGGAAGGACGAACGAATATTGGCAGAAGAAGAATAGGCTTGCTGGAAGAAGGGAAGAACCACCTTGTTGAAGACCAGAGTTAGAGGAGATTAGGGTTTCAACGCCTGAAACCCTAATCACGTGACATCATCCCCGCCACCGTTGCAAACCTAATCGCTAATCGTGTGAGCGACGACCACCACCATCTTTAAGCCCTCAATCAGCGCCTACAAAAGGAAAGGAAAAGGGATTAAGACCCAAATCAGAAAAGCAATCGAAAGAAGCTCGTAAAGTCAGAATCTTGAAATAACGAAAACGGTAAAACGATTTTCTTGGTTATTTTTGTTGACTGTTCGTGTATTTTTTTTGGGGGGGGGGGGGGGGGGTTGGTAAGCAATTTGTAGGAAAAGGGTTCCGTTGGGGAGCGGCACCGTGGATACTAGGGCTTGGGGGTCAAAGACGAAAGGGTTTGATGTAAACGAGGAAGAGAGAAAGGAGAGTTGTGTGTGAGAGAGAGAAAGCTTACTGTGAATTGTAAAATGAAAACGATGTAAAACACATTTTCTTTATTCCGTCTGGATCGTATACGCGTGCGTGTATCATAATATCATACTCCCTCGCTTATCATCCACATGATCATCGGTGGACGGCCGTGAGTCCAAGTCCACCATAATCCTATACTTCATCGCAACATACAATCAGTTGGACTCCCTTCAAACGGTAATGGGCCCAAGCTCGTTAATTTCCACACCCCCTTTTTTTAGTATTACTAAGTTCCAAAGTAATTTTCACCCCCCTGTCCAGCCAACATTAATGGGCCTAGCCTAAACTATTTTTGACACCCCATATTTTACTGCTTCACTAAAAAATGTACCCCCTTTAATTAATCAAATATTTCTTTGCTTTTATATATTTCTTATATTTTCTATTTTTCTTTTTTATTCTTATAATTTCTTTTTCTTATATTTCCTATTTATATTTTATAATTACTACATTTTCTTATTATCTTATTCTTTTCTTTATTTTATATAATAATTGTTATTTTAATTTTATTATTATCATATTATTAGTTATCACATGTAAATAATTTATTTTCATACTAAAATTACATATATTATTTTATATATTACTTTCATTAAATTTTTCTCTAATCATGCATTAATCAAGATCTTCGCAAATAATACGATTAAAAAACACAAACAAATCATCAAATTATTTTTTCGCAATAAACTAAGCTAATCAATTATTTTTTGCAAAAGGATTTCAAACTAGTTTTGACTTACTGCGCATTCAGTCAAAATCTCCACAATCACTACTCCCGACCAATTGCGAGGTGATTCAAAATATGTTTGCAAACCCCTAAAAAACACTAACCCCATACGAACTACGAATTGAGATTCTGATTTCTCATAAGAAGATACGTAGGCATATGATCTAAAATCGTGGCGAGTCTTTCTAATTAAAACTTAAATCTTGTTTACCCCAAACCTAAACCTAGAGCCTAATATCCTTGTGAAAAAGGTAGATGAAAGGTGCCTAACACCTTCCTTTCGTCTAATTGAGTTTGAAACCTAGAATCTTTATCTGTAAATTAGGGTTTTCTGTTAAATTCCATTCCTTAAGATAAAAACTAATAGTGGCGACTCCGATTTAAAAGCCAGTTGCTACAGTTACCGTAACAAGTAGTTGTCTACCAGAATTTTCAAATTTTTGGTACCAAAAATTCTAAATATCCGGGAAAAATGGTACATGCACGATTAAAATGCACATAATCAAACTGATAGCTCAACATGTACAACAAATATAAAACTGATAAAATTTTATTACCTATTTGTCTTGTATGTGTAATAAAAAATTAATCCCAAATGAAATATATTCAGCAACTTCACAAAATCAGGATGTGTCTAAAAGATATCAGCTACAATATCTGAGTTGTTCCTATTTCTAGTCCAACACATGTATTTCTTTTTATGAATAAGGCTCAACAACATCTGCATTTTTGTCAATGTACCTTTCTTACTCGTTATGTATATAGCTCTAGCTTTATACACCTAAGTAATACTCATTAGGCTTTCTAGATCTTTATCTTTCAAAGCAACAACTATGTACCTTGGAGCCATATTGTACTTCGTCATGTCATTCAAAAACTTTCTTTCATGATATTTTAGACGGCCAAATATGTCACGGCCTTCCAAATCCTTAGATAGTTTATGATTATGCATCATGCATCTAACCATCACCTTCCAACCGATACCACTTTGAACATATCTCAATGTAAACAAACATTTAACTTTCATATTATAAATGCCTTCTGAGGAATTATTGCTTTCAGATGCATTCCTTCTTTTGTAATTTCCTTCTCTCTCACAATCTATAATAAATTTATCCTTCCCCACTGACATTCTATTAACAGAATCAGAATGAATAATAAAAACAATAATACCATGTCGTTTACCAGTAGCTCGTGTCCATGCTAAAACTTCAGACCGAGACTTAAATATCTGTCAATTACAACACATAATATTAAACTATCACTTCCATAAATACGGGAAAACAATTAAAAACTGTATTAGTTGAATAGAAAACATACGACATCTATGATGAAGAACTCCGTAAAATCTGTACAGGAATTTGTAGAAGAAGTTGTCGACTCTAGACCACACAAATAAGTAATTTTATCTGCAGACATACCAAAAATTCCAATGATTTTCCGATATGTTTCTTTGGTTTTCTATATCAGCACTGGAAATTTCAAATTTTTTAATAAATTGCCTTTGGAAATTTTGAAAAATACGAACGATTTTCGATAAAAACGTGAAATGAAATACTTGAAATTTTTTTACTACTTGTCCATAGTGATGTTTTTTAACAAATGTAAATTATTTTAAGTTAAATAATAACAAAGGCATTTTTGTCGATAAAAAGTTATAAGGGGTGCCAGGAATAATTTCAGGGGTGGCAGGTTGAAACCTCAAAGCCCTAAACTTAAGCCCATGGTAAATCGGCCCAATGCGCGAGGAAAAGGATATTAGCGTCTTTTCCAAATCTAGGGTTTAGTTTAGTTTATGGTTCCTAACTTCTCAAGTTTCGTCTCAGCGTGCCGACTGTGATTATTGGGGAGGAAATCGCAGCCAAACTAACAATGGTAATTTCTCTATCTCCATTCCTTCATAGTAGCGTGCGTGTTTATCTCTATCGATTTTTCAATTTTCTATATGATTACCTTAGATCAATTGTTTTTCAGCTTTCATGAATTTTATGTTCACATGAACCATGAAGTATTGGAACAATAGATTTTAGTATAGAAAAATGTGATTTAGGGTTTTTGATGTTAGTTTTATTTTGTTTTCTGAAGTTGAATTTCTAGGTTAAGATTTGAATAGTGGTTATTTCCGTAACCTTTTTATGTTGTTTGAAATGTAGCCTAAGCAAATCAATGAGATTAAGGACTTCCTCCTCACGGCCCGGAGGAAGGATGCGCGCTCCGTGAAAATCAAGAGAAGCAAAGATGTTGTCAAATTCAAGGTTCGATGCTCCAAGTATCTTTACACCCTTTGTGTGTTCGATACTGAGAAAGCTGATAAGTTGAAACAATCACTTCCTCCAGGTTAGTTATTGATAATTGTTTTTGGTTGTGATTGGGTTATAATCAATTGGGTTTCTGTTATTTTTCCCTCATAGTTGTTAGCAACTTATGCATAGATCACCCAGATGTGGAAATTTGAGTTTATTACATCCTACTTATGTTTATGATTCACTTTTGCAGGTTTGAATGTGCTGGACCTGTAATTCTATCCAGCTTATTGTGTTCTGCTATGGGAATAGTGCTTTCTAGATATATTTTTGTCCTTTTGTTTTGTTGTTGATTACCTGCCCTATGATTCTCATTATGAATGATCCAACTCTGTTTTATTGTCTTAATGCAGTTTTATCATCATTTATTCAATCTATTAATCTTATAATCATTTATTTATTGCGATTATTCATGAAATTCAATTAGCTGAAAAGCCTTATGAGTAAAATTTAAGCCCTGTCATGCTGCTACCAACAATTACTTCTTGCAGCCAGCAGAAGTGGTGTGATTTGTTTAATTACAAATGACAATCCACACCTGCAAAAAAGCACCTTAGTTTGGTGTATGACATGTCATTTAGTTGTTTGGTTGTGTGGCTAAATCTTGTTCGGCAACACGCGATGAACTATGAACTATTAGTTACTAGACATACCTTTAATAAGCCACGGAAAAACATAAACATGTTAAATATTTCATTCATCTTAATTCCTTCCACTTGGTTACCATTTTTCTCCTCAATGCACAGAGTATCCGAGTATCATTCTCCTTTCTCAAACTTTCTGTCACTCTTCATGGAAAAATGTTGTTGGGATTATCATTACACCTGCTAAATTTCCTTTCTCCTGATTCTGCTTCATTATTTTTGCATCAACTAAGTCCACTTTTATTATTGAGTATTATTTTTTGCACTGACAATAGCTAATTCTATTATTATTGTGTTTTGTTTCAATCTGTTGAAATATTTGTGGTCTGTAATAACTCAGATTTTGAATTTCTTCACACACCCCTTCTAGGAAAGTGCTTTATTATCGTATGATTGGTTGCTTGCATTTGTTGACAATACTATGTGTTTTTTGCCATAGTAATGAAATATGTTCACTTCTACAAGTTTGTCACCAATTGATTCTTGTTTTTACTAATTGATTCTTGTTTTTCATGACAAATTATTTGTAACAAATACTCCATTAGATGTTATTCATAATAGTCCTTCAACTTCAAGATTATCATATTATCTCAACTTTCATAATTAATATATCAACTGTTATTAATAAAATAGATATTTATAAAAATGAAGATCAATTTAGTGGGAAAAAATTAGTACGGTCAATCTTTTTCTTCAAAAGTGTGCTTAACCACAAATAATCCTCGAAAATAATAAGTAAAATTATAAAATGAATGATTACTGACCACTCTCAATATTTAGTAATGAGTGATTAGTCTCAAGGTTTACAAATTCAACATTAAGAATTTAGGGGGAAATTTATCACTAAATTTTTTTTTTGAGAAATAAAGTATAAGTATTTATGTACAACACGTTTAACACCTCCTTGATCCTATTAATAAAAATAAAATAATTTAAATTTATTAAATAGTTAATGATATATTAATTATTTAATTAATTTAATTTAATTTTTTTTTTAAATTATACCATACTTTCTTTACTTCATATTAACCTCACAATAAAAACACCAAAAACGTTGGTCAAGAAAATCTTTATGGTGAGAAAAGTTTACTTGGATATTTGTTTTAGGGTGTTTTAGGGGAATACTTAACACTACCTGTCCTTAATTATCATTGTTTTAGAATATTTTAGGGGAATATTTAATACTACCTCCATTTTTAATTATAAGATTCTCTTAAATTTTTTTATTTTTTTTATAAAATCCTCTTTAATTTTTAATATTAATTATTTTTTTTCAAACATATCTCTAATTATATTACATATTTTTCTTCAATATATAATAAATACAATTACATACACATTAACTATTTCTCTCTCCTTAAGATAAATTCGTAAAATTATACAAAATAGTCAATAAATTTATTACTCTAACAAACTTTCTTAATTCCCTCAATTTTTTCTATGGAGTATTATATTTAAGGACGGAGGTAGTATGTATTACTACCATATATTCGTGAAAATATAATAATATCTTTAAATGTCAGAAATGCATCTTCAGACGCACCCAAATCAATATATTTTTGAATGAATTCTCTGTGGTAATTAGAGATACATCTCCGGACGACGTTTGATCAAAAACGCGTCAGAATTCTTTCTCCTTTCTCACTTCTAAAAAACACTCTAAATTTTCTCAAACTCTCTCAACTGATATTGTTTCAAAATCATTCAATCAACATCAAAGCTTATTTCACCAACTTCAAGTTCATCAAAGAGTTCATGTTCTCTCAAAATTATTCAATCAACCTCAAAGCTTGTAAGTCTTTTCTTTTTCTAAACCTTTTTGAGTTTTTGTATAAATTTGTAGAATTGATGATTAGGTTATGAAATTGGTAGTTTATACATGCTATGTAAATTAGAAACATGTTTGGTAGATACTTTTATTGATTAATGCAATATTTTTGTTATTTTGGGGGACTGCATTTTCGCCATTGATGTTAGGGTGAGTTACAGAAAATTTCGGAGATGCGTCTCTAGAATTTTTCAACGTTTTAATTTCTAGAAATCAGAGATGCATCTCCGGACTTTATCAATATGCTTGTTTGTGCTTTTTTTTGCTTCAGCTTATTTTGTTTCATATGTATAAGTGTAACGTTTGTGTGGTTTACTTACATACATTACGACTAGTAAGCAAGACTGATTAAGGCACGACAAGATTGAACAACATGCATCGATACAAAGGAAAAAGAGTCAACCATCGTAGACTTATGTTACCTCTAGTCTGGTTAATGCAAAGGCATAAGCTTTTGCGGCTCATGTATCTTCGTCTTCTTCTTCCCGTAGGAGACATATGTCACTTACTCATGCATCCATGCCTCCATCTTCTCGTAGGCGACATGTTTCACCTATTCAAGTACCTGATGCAACAGAGGTACCCGAGTCACCGAAGGCACCTCAGACACTAGAGGTACCTGAGGCACATGAGGCATCTGAGGCACCCCAAGCAAACAAGGCACCTAAGGGGTTTGAAGGAGGCTCGACAGAGTTTTCACTTCCGCCTTTTTACCCAGACCATGCTGCCAGACGTATTTGAGACAAAGAGGTAAAATTTAGTTGGTTTCATTCTTTGTAAATTATTTTTGTTATAATCATTTTTGTTATAATCATATTTGTTATAAATCATGTTTGTTATAATTTTCTACAGGACCGTGATGCTCTTAAATTCATCAACCATGGTCAAAAGATAACTGGCCTGAAGAGCCTAATGCGCATTGGTTTCAGGATATTTTGAGGCTATCTCTGCTGAAAGACTTGTGTAGGACTGTTATATTACGGTTAACCATGGTATGCTATATGCATTTTTAGAGAGATTGTACACATAAACATCTTCATTCATCTTCCACATGATGAGATGTTTATCACGCCAGACGATGTCTTATGCCTGCTGTATCTCCCAAGCAAGGGAAAATTGTTAGACCACAATAGGATTAATAGAGATGACACACTAGAGATAATGGTCGACTACTTGGAAGTTGACCCATATGAATCCTGAAGGAGTTAGAAGCCACCCAGGGGCTACTGCTAGGGTTTGATTCATGGATATGGTATATACATATGAGCTGCTTATAGTAGAGGAGACAACTAGTGATGACGAATAAGTACTGTAACACAAAGAAAACACTCTGAGAGCATACCTGTTATATTTGGTTGTCACGTCCATTTTTATGGACAAGAGTGCCAATTATGTGGATGTTATATACACATGTTACTTCAATGACTTCGAGCGGATCCATGAGTATAACTAAAGGGCCACTTGTTTGGTCTACATGTACTCCAAGTTATCTGAAGGTTGTATGTGGAAGATCAAACTGGTGACATACAACATCACACTATTGACAATAATATTTCTTGGTCTTTTAGTGTTTGTGTGTTATTTTTATAACTCTTTTGCAACACCATTAGTAATTATCCATTTGTTCCATTTCCAGGCTTGGATCCTCCAGCACTTCCCAAATATATTTGACTTGTCATGTATATCGACCTACACTAAGGATATGCCACGTGATTCTACATTCTTCTCGCTTAGAGGGAACAAGGCGACATAGCTATTCCGCATGTATATTGACTGTTTGGTAGTATATGACGTACACTTCCATATGTACATCAATCACCGTGAGACACGTCCCTTTGATGACATATTCTTATACTCTAAATGGTTGACTTGCAGCTCACATATGAAGTTTCCTCATTTGCATTAGCACGTCATGCAACAATTCAACTACATACATTATATTCCTATAGACCCTTATGTGTCTACTCCTCCCGCTATGACACATAGAGATATGGATGATATGTTTAATGATTATCTTAATCATCTGGTACCAGAGGAGACACATAATATCATAGCTCCTAGAGACTGGAGCTACGCAGACAGTTACATCTCGTGGTTCTTCAGAGTGTCACATTCTTATATGATACATGATTCCCCAGGAGATCCACTGAGGCCTTCACATCAGGAGATGTTATAGGATGAGCATGTTACGACAAATTATGTTGTTGATGTGTTGCCTAGATGTCACGTCATCATGGAGATTTGACAAACGAGTATTGATAGAGGGACTCTTTTCGGATGACTTTAAGGCTAGGGACGTTGTAGATTCTATGATGGTGGAGGCACATGAGACATTGCAATATAGGAGTCAGTGTAGGAACAGGGGGTCCTAAGTCTGTCATATGCAGTAGTTTATAGTATTCATACTCTAGATTTATTATTGGTAATATTTTATTTTAACTTATTTCGACTTTGTTGTGTACTCTGAATTTATTACTTCATATATGTTATTTTCTTCATAGCGGATGTATGGTCTAATTCATCGTAGTAAAGCTATAACATATCGTCAATTTCATATGAGAATCACTAAAACAAACTTAAAAATTATTGTCCGCTGTTGTTAAGGAGATGCATCTCCGAACTTTATGTATATTAAATTAATACAAAGATGCATCTTCGAAAATAATTTATGTCAAAAGGGTGTTTTGGTGAAGTATGCATGGTGTGTATAACGAATTATTTTGCATATGCATCTCCGAATTAAA